CAGCTTGTTCCGCAGACAACCACTTTCAGTTTCACCTTGCACAACGAAAAACAGCGCGTTTCCGTGGACAGTCTGATTTTCAATATGATTCTCAATATTTTGTTCGCACCCACACAGGCGCCTTTTGGGTTTTTCCGGTTTTCCTGTGTTTTCAGCGGTCTTTCGAGTTTTTCTCTTTGACACCGGTTTTCCGGCAGCATGACTGCTTTAACGCCACCATTGCTCCCCCAATTGACTGTCTTGCACCTGTTTTTACATTTTCAGCTTGCTCAAATCAACAACCGGTGATCCACGCCCACGCTCCAGTGATACTTCGCTCAGCCACCATGGACGCGCAGTGGCAGCAATACTACTGGAATCATTACTTGATGCAGCAACACCATCAGCAGCTCACCAACCCAGATACCACAACTTCTCCTCCCACCACCGCCCACCACACCTACAGCCCCACAGGCACCTACGGCCCACTCACTCACGCACTTCGCACACACCACGTCCACCACTCCAACCCTTATGTGACTCCACCGTACACACCGCCATCGCAGCAAACACCCCCACCCCAGGCACCCAACTCCCAGCCAGAGTTTCCACCTCCGCCGCCGCCACCCCTGCCCACGGCCGAACCTGTCACTCCACCACCCTCGACCTTCAAACACAGCCCCCCGCCACCACCTACCACACGTGGCACCACAGCGCCCGCCCCACCGCCCCCACACATCCCATCTCCCACACCACCTGTTCCCGACTCCTGGAACCCCACCGAGCAACATTGGGACTCCAACACCCTGCACGGCCACCAACTACATCGTACAATCCAACCCACCCAGTGGTCTCGCAAAGCAGGAGTGGCCGGCCTCCCCACATTTGAGGTCTTCCCGTGGCAATTGGCCTACCACGGTACCTCCGAGTTCACCGCCCGTACACTGAGCAACGGCAAATTTACAGGTTTCATTGCCACCAGAAGCATAGCGGAGTCGGTCTTCGTGACCCTTTTTCTCCAACAACTCCGCGAGCACCGCCTTGACCTTGACGGCATCGCGGAGGCTCTTCACACACAACAGAGCACAGACGTTCCAAACAAAACTACCCATGCCCGAGCTTTTCACGCTCCCCTCATCAAACTGCTTATCGACCAACTGCAAACCCACTCCCCAGCACCTGCGGAAGGCTCCGCCCTACGCGCCCTCAAGACCACCAACGACGAACTGGCTCGTGCACGTCAGAAACTCCAGGACCTGGGCAACCCACTCACACCAGTCAAGAACACCAGCCGATCTTCCGCACCAGCCGCCCCTTCTCACGCACCCACGCCACCACCACCGAAACCACCAGCCATCACCGACGTCTTGCAACCACCACACCCCACTCTGCAAGACGACATCCCCGAAGGCTGGAACTACCCAGGGATCCAACAATGGGTCACTACCTTCGACCCCACCATCCAAGAAGCTGCGACGGACGTTATCCGACTGCTGCAAACAAGCAAGGTCACCACGCAGCAGCTAAAAGAGGCAGCCACCAAATATGGCCTACCCCTCAACCGAGTCAATCGACTCCCCATCCGCAGCCTACAACAGCTGGTGGGAGTCGGAGCAGCCATTGGTTGCTGACTCGCCATCGTGGCCCAGCAGCAACCCAGCCTCACCAACCTCACCCAACTCTTCCACCTGCACCGCACACTTTCCATGCTCATCCACCGCACCCAATACATTGACCGCGCCGAGGCCATCTTTACAACCGGCCTCATCCATATCACACTACTTTTCGCATACCCCTCCAACACCCGTCGCTCACAACAATGGCGCAACCGCCTCCGCCAGCTCCACATTTTACCACACACCTACCACTACCACAACTTCCTCTCTTCCAATTCCGTCTACATCAAGCTCCACTTCAATCCCGACCAACCCCAACGCTGCTACCACCAACACGGCCACTTCTACGTTGGCTCCACAGCTATCGGCATCCCCCACCGTGAACACAATCGCCGCGCCAAACTCAAACAACTTCAAAACAACATTCCCATTTCTGCAGAACTCTCTTTACGTTATTGGCATTCCCACAACAACATCCACCACTACACCACTATCCAACTCACCTCCCATGATACATACGACCAAGCCTGGATCCAAGAGCACCACTACATCGCCAACTGGATGCCTTCACTCAACTGGCCTTTCATTTCCCACCACCTCAAACTCAAAGCTCAGGGATGGCAGTTTGCGAAGCACAGAGCCCACTTCTACTCCAGACTAGCCACTCACAAACGACTTTTCCGACGCCTTCGACAACGCCAGTACACCCTCAGAGAACCACACCTCTACACTTCCACGAAGCATCACGCCCTCCAAATCCTCCGCAACCTCACCAAACACACCGCAGCCTCTTTTGAGGCAGCAAAGCAGCTAAGAAGCGGCCGCCACACAGACCTCGAGGTGTATGCAATACGGCGTATGGCCGCGAATTTGGAAGAACCTGGCCGCAGCCGAGCTCTTCACATTCTCAACAAAGCCTTGCTCTACCGCAATCTCACGCCACCAAAGCCAAACATCCCATTGACAGTGCCCTTCTTGGCCCATGACGACTTTCCCAAGCACTGCCAACAATGGCTCCGCACCACCATCCAGCAGCACAAGCATTTCACCATACCCCTCCACCTCCCCTCACACAGACTGAGGGAAGCCGCCCACAAAACCCTCCGCTCCCACCTACACAACCACCGCACATGGGAGGACACCCTCCACTCCCCGCCAGATCCCGCAGACCTCCCCTGTGCATGCGATCACCTTCGCACCCTCCTGCAGGATCCAGAGACCCCTACCGTCGACGGCCATTACATCCTCACACTTGATCAACTCCAACTCCCTACACACCTCAGCATTTTCCTCAACGCCAATATGAACAGTACCTATTACCCAAGCAAGGCTCGTTATTTCCTCATTTTCAAGACGGCCTATACCAAATGGCTCAAACTACAGGGGCTTCCACCATCCCTAGTTCAACACCTACAGCCTTTCCTTGAGCACCAATGGCGCCTCCACAACATACACCTCAAACAACAACCCCGCTTTACGGCTCGCCTGCTTCGCCAACTCCAAGAACATTTGGGCAAACACACATTGCTCCACCATGCTGATCATGAGCTCCAACAACTCCGGTTGTTTTGCCCTCGCCAATATTTCACCGGCGCCTTGAACACCTGGCAATCCCCCGAACTTTTCGAACCACTTCCCTACATCACTGCCGCCAACATCCACGACCACCTGGCCGCCACTGTCCCCCCCATCCTGCGCACTCGCTACAAGTGGGGCTTCCGCAAAGACTTCAACATCCCCTACGGGGTTGTCCACCTCAAGGAGAAGAAGCGCTGGCAAAAAGGCCGTACAATCATTTCATACTTCCAATCACTCAGTGGCAACCTGCTACGCATCACCAGCCGTGCCCTTGACATCATCCTCCAACACCTCTACCCTCAACATCCAGGCCAAATGTCCATTCCCCAGCTTTGGCACCACTTTCACAGTTACCTCACCCAAACCCCACCAGACATCTCACTACACGCCACCAACGATGACCTGGTCGGCTTTTTCAACTCCGTTCCCCAGCACCGACTCATCGACGCAGTTCATTCCCTCGTCCACCACTGGCAGCAACAGCAATCCACACACACCTTAACGGTGGATGTCCAGGCCACCGGCAATCCCTTCCACCACTCACACATTGGCCGACACCATCAGAAACACCCCACCCAACGCACCATCCAGACTTCCGACATTACCACCATCGTGGCTTTTGCCCTCAACACATGCATTTTCCGGGCTTGCAACAATACTTACAAACAAATCCGAGGGGCCGGGATTGGATCCCAGCTCTCTCCAGCCCTATGCAACGTTGCCATCACCCTCATTGAGCATTCCTGGCATCAGATCCACAACAACCTACTTCAACATACGGACCTCCATTTTACTTACTATCGCTATGTCGACAACCGCTTCATTGTCCACAACGAACATTTCCTTCAACACCCGGCTATCCAAACCCTCATCCACCACAATTTCTTTGGCGACCCAGTGGAACTCGAGCCGGTGGAGGACTTTCATCTCCTCGGTTTCAACATCGACCTCCCACAACGCACCATCACCTACATGCAACCTTCTCAACCCTGGAAAATCCGGGATTCCACCACTGCCGGGAGCCAGCGCTTGGCTCTATCAGGCCTCCAATCACGACTTCACACCATTCGCAAATACACATTTCCACCCTCCAGCGCTGACCTTGCTGCGGCTGAACTCGTGAACTTATATGTCCAAAAGGGGCATAACTACCACGCCTGCCACCGGTTTTTGAAAAAGCGCCGAATGCGGCGATCTGTGTGTGTCCCACCCTGGACAAAGGGTTTTCCACCACCATTTCTCCACAAGCAGGGGGCAGGAGTGCCATTGCAAGTCTCCTGCCAACGAAGACGCTTGCAATTGGCAGTGAAACCAGACCTGATCAGTCTGGCGTACCTGCGACTTTGAACTTTTAACCACGCTGTTCCAATCTCTCTTGTTTGCTTCCATGGTGGTTCCACGATACTTCCCCCTAAACCTTTTCCTCCCCAGCAGCGCTGCAGCTTCAGCCGCTTCGTCACCGCAGTCAAGGGAAACAACTTTTGTTCAAACACCTACAAGTTTCTCGGACTTTTCGCCATGCTGTTCCACCGCCATCCTTCCCAACGTGGTAACTGAGTTCACTGAATACAAGTGTCAGAGTGTGTCTTTCTCTCTGTGTGTGCGCGATGGTTTGGCCAGTAGTCTGGCTTCGGCGCTGGATTGTTTGTGGATGAATCCAAAAGAGATTCCGTGGAGACACATGGATGAGAAGCCACTTGGAAATGGGTCCCAAGGTGCAAGCATCTCCGTCTTTTGAGCGAATGCTTCAGACCCACCACCATCCTTGGCTTTTTCAGTTTCAGAGCTCTCCTTCTACATCCTTCTACCCCAAGTCCCTTGCCCAAGGCACGGCTCAGCCAGCTGTTCGCCCCTAGCAACCACTGGAGATGAAGGGCCGCCATGCACGCATTCGTTCAGAGAGCAACTCTTGCAGTGCTCCTGCCCAGAACGCCCTGGCTTGGTCGTGGTCTTCAAGTGGGAGCAGGCGCGAAAGATGGTTTTGTGATGTGCCATAGGTTGATCGGGGACATTATTGAGAATACATCAGTTCTTTGGATGCAACAATCTGTTAGATATTATAAACCAAAATGGATACGTGAATGTGAAAACCCAAAAGCAGTTGAACTAGCCTAGACATCCCCAAATCACAAGTCCTACAGAGCAGTACATTTTTGGCAAAAGATATGCATTTCATACACATACTCTTGCCTTTTTTTGGCAGACCCTCCCACAACTCTTGGCTCAAATCTCAAAATCTCAAGGGCGATCTTGGCTCCACCCCTGTACAAACGACAATTTGAGCATATTTAAGCGAAAAGGGTTGCCGTTATGTGGGAATGTAATTTGCACAAAAGGGCTATGTAAAAGAAGCTCAGTGTGTTTCAGTCCACCCTGGAGAAACTCCAACACAGGACAAGAAAAAGAGCAGCAAGAAGACAAAGAAGGAAGAAGAAGCAGAAGCAGAAGCAGGGGAAGAAGAAGAAGAAGAAGAAGAAGAAGAACAAGAACAAGAGCAACAACAGCACAATGAACAAGAGCCGCCGCCACCACCAGTACCACCACTACTACGGCTGGGTTCGGCGCTGCGTCTTCTCATCCGCCGCTAGCGCACCGGGACGCGATGTAAGGTGCCCATGTGGCGCCTATGTTCACCACACCTGCCCTCCTGGGATCCAAGCTCCGGGCTTAGTGTGGCCAGTGAGACCAAGAAAGCCGCGGAAAGGCCGGGAGGTGCGTGAAAAGGGTGGTGAAAATAGCCGCAAGATTAAGCCCACACAGCAGAGGACCTCCTGGAAGGCTCGATCGGGATTTCTGATTGAAAATCCCCCAACACGCATACCACATCATACAGGGCGGGTTCGATTCGATCGTCAGTTAGTCGGTTCGGTTCCTTATTTAAAGAATTGGTTTCTTAGGATTTGGTTTCGGTTCGAACCGATTCGGTTCGTGGTCCGGTTCGGTTCGGTTCGGTTCGTTTCGTTTCGTTTCGTCGGAACCACACATCCTAAGAAACTTGATTCTAAGACACTCTAAACAGTTCACTGCAGGTTCAGACTGAACCCTTTCCAAACAATGAAAGCAGACTGGCTTGATCCTATCTAATCCCCCTAGGATTGCACGGATTGAAGATTACGCGGTTACGGATTATTCTTTGGGACCTGCGCGGATTAGAGGGAATCTTCAATGCTGCAATCCTAGTGGGACATGGAATCCAAAAGTGTTGGATTTAAGTCTTGTAAGGCTTACAAGTGGTGATTGTCTCTACAAGCCCTCAATGCATCTCAGCCCAAAGGCAAGGCTACGCTAGCACGAAAACTGAGGTAGGCATGGCAGTCTAAATATGGCCAAACTCACCGTGGTAGCGGCGGTGGAACGAAAACCGAGGTTGCAACGTGGCCACAAAGCTCCAAATTTGATCAATATTTGGTGCTTTTCTGGCGGCGGGCGGTCGCAAAAGCTCCAAATTTCAATGAAATTTGGAGCTTTCCAAAGGCGGTCGCAAGTGGCGGTCGCAAAAGCTCCAAATTTCAGTGAAATTTGGAGCTTTTTGGTGGCGGTCGCAAAATGTCGCAAAAGCTCCAATTTTCAATGAAATTTGGAGCTTTTCTGGTGGCGGTCGCAAAAGCTCCAAATTTCAATGAAACTTGTAGCTTTTTGGTGGCGGTCGCAAAAGCTCCAAGTTTCAATGAAATTTAGAGCTTTTTGGTGGCGGTCGCAAAAGCTCCAAATTTCAATGAAATTTAAAGCTTTTTGGTGGTGGTCGCAAAAGCTCCAAATTTGGTGGCGGTCGCAAAAGCTCCAAGTTTCGATGAAGTTTGGAGCTTTTTGGCGGCGGCCCCAAAAGCTCCAAATTTCAATGAAATTTGGGGCTTTTGGATGAGAGCTTTTTAGCTGTAAGGGAAAACAAGCTCCAAAGGCGCAACCGAAAAGCAATCTTGGCAGTTCAGTCACAGCATTCTGTGGCCTAATGGATAAGGATTCGGCGTTCGTATGCGAAGGTCGTGGGCTCAATTGCTTCTCCTGCCTTCGTGGGTTCTTTTAAAAAAGACAAAAAACCCAAGCATCGACCAGAATCTTGGCGCCGGTGGTGGCGGGCGCAAAAGCTCCAAATTTCGATGAAATTTGGAGCTTTTTGGTGATAGTTTTTTGGTGGGAGCGCTTTTTTGTGGGGTGGTGGTGGCGGCGACAAAAACGCATCAAATATCGGCCACGCATTTTGGCTGCCTTTTTTCCTGCTTCTGTCACATCACGGGTTGTGCCTTGATCCACCGGATCGTCATAGCGTCGGAACCATCGGCTTGGGAGGGCACGCACACACTATCAGTCATCCCACAGCCGGTTCGAGAGCGATTCGATTCCTTCGTTTTCGATTCCTTAAATTTCGATTCATGGTTCGATTCGAGCGGTTCGTTTCGGTGGCGATTTGGCAGCGGTTCGGTTCCTTGTTGGTAGCGTTTCCGATTCCTGATTCGATTCGGAACATTCCTGATCATACAACCGCATGCAGATTCCAGCGGGCCGGTTTCGACTCCAAAAAGACTAAGATGTGGAACTCACCGCGGCCGCGTGTGGTCCGGGTGACCGTGCTGTGGAACTCACGCGACGATGCTCCACGCTCCACGCTCCGCGTGTGAAGAGGATCTCCCTCTTCGACAACACCGAGCAGCTCATCGAGCGCATCGCCGAGTTCATGCGGAGCGTGCTACTGTGCTTGTCCACGATCGAGTCCGAGGCTCCAACCGGGACTCGAGTAACTCGAGGCTGAGTTAACAACTGGGTTTCAAGGCTTGGTGCTTCCTTGCCTGGCAAGCGCATTGGTTTGTTCAAGCCGTGTGAAGATTTGAGAGTTGCCACATTTTGCCATAATGGCTGCTGAGTGCGGCTGTTGGGAGGTAGACTTCAGAAAACCCTCTTTTATCAGGAAGGTTCACACGCTCTTACTTCACCACTCCAAAGTGTCCTCAAACTTTCTTTTGTCAATCCAATGCTCGCCTTGAAAAGGACCATCACGGGCACACCCACACACACACACACACTCACGCCACGCCCGCGCCACGGAGGACAACCGGGCATCTGAGTCGCCCACGCTGCCGGCGCCCAAGAGCGAAAGCAGCCTGCGGGTCTTGCGGGCCGAGAACAGCCCGGACTCGAAGTCCGAGAAGGCGTGGAAAGGGTTTTTTGGATCCGAACGTGTCGAAGGGACGTGAGGGGGGGGTCGGAGGCCCACATCGACTGGCGTGGGCGGGGGTGTTTTGGAGGCTCACATTTCCCCAAGAGGTGCGAAGTGCCAGAGGACGCCAGAGGTATGCCGGGTGTCTTCCGAGTGTCCAGACGCAGCCAGAGGGTGAAGAGGGTGAGGGTTGCGATCGAGCCTGCCCGACAGAACTGCGTAGGCCCTAGGCTCGTCAAGCCCTACACGCATACCTCTTATGTTTGAATATGACAAGGCAGCATAGGCAGTCACTCATGCAGGAAAGCACGCAACCGACAACCTGGCCGTCAAGGCCCAAGCCCCCACTTGAAAGGAAAATCGCCCGCGCCTTTCATGGTAGCGGAGCTCTGGTCGTAAGGGCCGAGCTCCGTTACATACGACACCACGACGAGGTTGAAGAGATCGAGCACCAGGAGACGATCCAGGGAAGGGCCCTCGACATCCGCGATTTGGCTGCTGGAGTTGCTGATCCTAGCAGGCCTTGCAGGTGGAGCTGGATCGGCCACACTCCAGGAGATCCAGTATTTCCACTCCAACAACATCACTCCCAGCACTGAGAAGGTGAGGTTTCGCTACATCCACGTGCTGAACATCGAGACCACAGAGTTCAAGGCACGGATAAGGTGGGTGAGAGGAGCGAAAGCAGTCAGGGCATCAGTGACCTTGGCAAAGAAGAAGAACACTTCAGTGCAGAAGGAGGTGATTGTTGTGGTCCCTGCCAAGTGGAAGTTCTTGGGACGGATTGAGGAGTTGAGAGAAGATACAGAACCATGAGAAGTCCTAGGTGAGCTAGTGTACAACTGGCATTTCTGGGAACAGCTGGTCTACTCAGGGTTGATCTTTGGAAAGGAGGAACCTTTTGTTTCATTGACCTCAAAGACCTTCTACCCGGACGTGAGAGGTTGGAAGAACATGGCCGAGGAGAGTTTGAGACTCGTTGCAACAGCCTTGGAAAGGCTTACCCTCAGCCAGCAGAATCAAGGCTGGGCAAGACACCTGAAGAGTCCAGACGTGTTCAAACCTGACAGCAGAGATGCAGAGCTGAAGGGATGGAGCGACTGGAAGTTCTCATTTATGAACTATGTGAAAGGCTTGGACCCATCCATGGCACAGAGCATGGACATGGTTGAGGAGAACATCGAAGCAGATTACAGCCTTGGAGACATGACAGATGAGACCAAAGCCAAGGCGATCCGCCTTTACAGCCTCTTGACCTCTTTCTTGAGGTTACGACCTTTGAAGCTGATCAGGCATGTGAAGAATGAGAACGGTTTCCAAGCATGGCAGGTCCTCATCAAGGAGATGCAACCTGCAACACGAGCGAGGTCTCTGGCTTTGCTAAGCCAATTGTCGAGGATTCAGTTCGCTGATGGCAAGACTGTTTCTGAGCAATTGCCGCAATTTGAGGCCCTGATTTGTGAGTATGAGAGGATTTCAGGTCAGCAATACAGTGATGATGCCAAAGTTGCAGCTGTACTTCTTGCTTGTCCTTCCCAAATTCGACAGCATCTCCAGATGTGGCTCACCAATACCACAACGTATGAGCAGTTGAAGGACCGTATCATCCAGTTGGAGGCGGTCACCACGAAATGGGACAGTGCAAACTCATTGATGCTGCCTACCCGAGTCACAGGAGATGACTATACACCCATGGAGGTCGACTACATCGGCAAGTCCAAGGGGAAGAAAGGAGGAAAAGCATAAAAGGAAAAGATGCTAAAGGAAAAGAGAAGGGCAAAGATAAAGGCAAGAAGGATGGCAAAGGCTCATGGAAAGGCCATGACAAGGGCAAATCCATGTGGGACAAAGGCCCTGGCAAGAAAGGAAAGAACTCCGACAAAGGCTCAAAAGGAGGCAAGCAGAGCAACGCATGCCATCTATGTGGAAAAGTTGGGCATTTTGCCCGTGAATGTTGGAAGAGAGTCAACCAGATCGAGGACAACGTGAGCATCAATGCTGGAGGGGCCAGTTCATCGTCGACAGGACAGGCTGGACCCGGACAGACAAGCAGCACTGGGCATCAGACTTCGGTCAAGATGGTGAGGTTGGAAACTCCACCAGACGCAAACTCCCTAGAGATTTTTGATCTGACCACACCAAGAGGAGAGAGTGAGATTCAGCACCCTTGGCGTGTGGGGATGGTCGAACTGGTGGAGGAAGAGGTGTTCTATGACATTGAGGAGCACTATGAGGTTGAAGATGCCTACATGGAGTGCGTTGAGCCAGCAGTAGAGGTTCCTGAGAACGTGGCTATAGTGGCTATGGATCTTCAGGATGAAGAGGATGTGATGGTGAAGATGGTTCGCGTCCAGAAGATTGGGTGTGAGGAAGAGTGCATGGTGACACTCGACAGTGGAGCAGATGTCTCTGTCCTGCCTAGATGCTATGCTGGGACAGGCGAGAGGCAGCAAGAGAGGGAAGAGCTGAGGATGGTTGACGCTCAAGGCAGAAAGATAGCGCATGATGGCATCACTCGAGCACGGGTTTGTGTTCGAGACAAGACAGGAAAGGAGAGCTGGTCGAAGAGTTCGTCCTTGGAAATGTTCAACATCCCATTTTGTGTGCAGGAAAGTTGCTGAAGAGAGGATGGAGCCTTAGCAGTGTGGACGGAAGTTTGCATTTGAGGCGTGAGACAAGGGAAGTTGACATTCCTTTGAACACAAGTAGGAACTCACTGCAATTTGAAGCTCAGATACTCATGGTGAAGCTGAACGAGGAAGCTGAGATGCAAGACGAGAAGTCGAAGAGTCTCAACGAGGAAGGTTCAGTTGAGAAGAGGATATTCGCATTGACTGGGTACCTCAGCCCATATGTCAAAGATCTGGAAATGACGCCAGGATGGCATAGACTCCCCAATTAATGGAGTTGCAGTGTACAGCGATCCAGTGGCCATGAAGCTGATCGATCCATCCGACAGCATCGAGAAGATGTACAAAGCTCGCATGACGATGGTGAAAGGAAAGGATGGAATGTGGACCCAATTGGAGAACATTGAGGATTACATGGCTTTGGGAGACAAAGCATTCAGAAGGATCAGCTTGACAAATGAGCCACAGAGGACTCTTACCTTCTTCTCAACGAGCAAGTTCAAGGACTATTGGGAGGAAGGATCAGAGGTGCCTATTGCGCCATACCCTTTGACTGAGGCCGTCATCAACCAAACGGATTGGTCAGTGGATGAACGAGAAGAGTTGGAGGAGCTAGAAGGGAAAGAAATGTTCCATGACGTGGAGAAGATGGTTGTCGCTGAGAAGAAAGATGAAGTAGAGCTGGACGAAGTGACCTACTCTGAGAAGACAACAGTCAAGGAACTACAAATGGCATGTAAGGAAAGGCAGTTGGCACACACAGGAAGCAAGAAGAAGTTGTTAGAAAGGCTGATTGGCTACAAGGTGTACATGGAGACGAGGATGCACATGGCAGTGGCGAACAAGCTGTACGAGGAGAAGCGAAGAAGGCCAGTGACTCTCGGACAACCAAAGTTGCCTAGCCTGGAGGAACAAGAGATCCATAACGTCACGCATTGGCCTTATGCAGCATGGTGCCAGGCTTGTGTCGCCAGTCGAGCCAAGGAAGATAAACGTGAGAGTTCCGACAAGAAAGAGGATGCCGGAAAGAATGTCATCCAGATTGACTTCTGCTACACGTACACAGGAGATGAAGACAAGGAGGAGAGCAGAGTTGAGGATGTAGGCACAGGAAAGGTGGTGGAAAGACAAGATCAATTTGGAACTTGTTTGGTGATGACATCAGCCACCACGAAGGCAATACATGTGGTGCCAGTGCCGACAAAAGGGAGCGCAAGTCTGAAGACCGTCACAGAGGAAGTGGTGAGGTTCAGCTTGGAGAACAGCTCAAGAGACAGATGCACCATCCAAGCTGACAGTGAACGAGCCACTCGACAGATACTGAGGTCAGTACAACAAGTGAGGAACGTGATGGGACTTCAGACAGAAATTAGGTTGACTGGAGCCGGACAACATGCATCCAACGGACAGGTGGAAAGAGCAGTGCAGACAATAAGGAGGATGGCTGGATGCATCAGATGCTTTGCAGAAGACCGAGCACGCATTGACATTGGTGGTAGCTTTCATGTGTTCCCATGGGCTTTCAAACATGCTGCATTCTTGATCAACCGGTTCAGAGTTCTGGATGGCTGCAACAAGACGAGTTTTGAGTTGGCCACAGGACATTCGTACAACGGGAAGTTGGCAATCTTCGGAGAAAGCGTGATGTTCAAGAGGTTGGTCAAATACAAAGGCAGCAACATATTTGAGAGAGGTGTTTGGGTCGGAAAGCATCCATTCAATGACAACCACATCGTGCTGACTCCAAATGGAGCATATGAATCCAGAACCATACGGAGACTGTCCACGGCAGAGAACTTCAGTGGAGTTGACATCTTCACGGCAAAGGGACTCCCATGGAGCTATTCTTTTTAAGGGATCCTGATGAAACATGCCGGACAAGCTCAAAAGTACAGACAACCGACCTTGGAGGTTGAGGCCAGGGAAGAAGAGATGAAGGAGATTGCGCATGCCGTAGCATCAGGAGTCGTCACCCCAGCACCAGGAGCAGAAGGACAACCTATGACACCTGCGGTGATCGGTAGTGCAGCTCCAACTACTCCAGCTACAAGAAGAGATGAGGTGCAAGATTCTCCAAAGAACGTACAAGTCAAGAGACCCCTTGAAGACATGACGATTTCCCCAAGGAGGATGCAAGACGAGAGGGCATTGACAGAGGAAGAGATGGAAGAGCCTGAGAAGAAGCACAAACCTGAGACAAGTCTCCCTCCGGAAGCTGCACGTTCTGGAATGCAATTGGAAGCCTCACCAAGCGCATCTCCCAGCAATCAACTGTACCCTCCATACTATGCAGGACTCAACAGAATCGAAGCTCATGGAGATGAGGAGGTTGGAATCGAATGGATTCCAGATGAACTGTTGGAGGAGGAGTTCATTGAGTGTGCTGGCGATGAAAATGATGACCCACCTGAGGTGAGTCCAGAACACCTACAACGCTTGGATGAGGAGGCAAGAGAGACAGAACTGAACCGAATGCTCGAGATTCCAGCAATGGTGGAGACTGATGAGAATGAAGTGAAGACCTCAGGAGGATATGTGATCTCCACGAAAGAAGTATACTGTTGGAAGCACAGACTCGAGAAAGGAGGATGGTTCAGAAGGGCAAGACTTGTGGCAAGGCAGTTTCGCAGTAGCATTGACATAGAACAGACATTTGCCCCCACTTCATTGATGGTGCTACCCAAGATGCTCATCCACTATCTGCTGAATGTGAGAAGGGATTTTGTTGTCATGACATTGGACGTGAAGGATGCATTCCTCATGGCAGCACAACCTGAAGCAGAGGTGGCATTTGTGAAGGTGGACAATCGCATCTTCAAGCTGCTTAGATGCTTGCCAGGACAACGCACTGCAGCAGCTCAGTGGTTCCATTTGTTCTCTACGACCTGCGTCGAATATGGAACGAAGCAAGATCTCATGCAACCTACGCTACTCTTCATTCCAGATCTACTGTACCTGACAGTGCATGTAGACGATGTTTTCATTGTGGGCAGAGAGGACAAGGTTCGACACTTCGTGCAGCGCTTGAAGGAAGACAAGAAATGGAATGTGGAAGAGAAAGGACCATTCAGACAAGGAAGCAAATTCCACTACCTCAAGAGGCAGTTCAACCTCGGAAGCAATCACTGCGATGTCAGATGTGACAGGAAGCAGTACGACAGTTTCGAGAAGGAGGTTGACTTGTACTCGAGATTTTACCGCAAGACACCCTTGGATTCGAACTTTGGCAAGAGAGATGAGTCAGAAGAATTGAAGGGTGAAGAAGTCACGAAGTTTAGGAGCATTGTGGGGAGGCTCATGTATATGTCAGGTGAACGACCAGATGCACAATACGCCATCCAGTGCCTTGCAAGACACATGTCAAAACCCACCAAGCAAGCAATGGCAAACGCATGGCATGTCGTCTCATACTTGTTTGGAACAAGTGGCTATGGCGTTCGCATTGATGAGAGAAAGAAGGGACAATCCATGATGGATTTGAGGATGGCAGATGAAGCTGAGGAAGCAGAGGAGCATTTGTTGGAGATTGTGACAGACGCCGACTATGCAGGGAACAAGAACGACAGGAAGTCAACGACATCATTTCAGTTGTTCCTGGACGGCAACCTGATGGAGTCGAAGGTGAGAACCCAGAAAGCAATCTCGCTGTCGTCAGGTGAGAGCGAATTTGTGGCTATGGTGGCAGGATGTTCTGAAGGCATGCTGATTCGACATCTATGGAATCAGATCACCGGCCAGAGCTGCAAGACAAAGGTTCGAAGCGACAGTTCAGCTGCAAGAGGGATGACACAACGACAAGGAATCGGGAGAGTGAGGCACCTTGATGCATCGCTGCTGTGGATACAACAGAAGGAGAAAGAGAAGGTGATCACGGTGGCAGCGATCCCATCCGAGCTCAACAGTGCAGACATTGGCACAAAGAACCTAGCCAAGAAGAGATTGAATGGACTCCTGTACGTGATCCACATGGTTGATGCAGTGGGAGACCGTGTGGGTGAGCAGGAGTACCATGAGATCGAGCACAACTACCAGTTGAAGCAAGGGATGAAGAAGTGAAGAAGCTTGGCAAAGGGCGAGATCTGAGGATTGGCTTGTTGCTTTTACTGGCCAACATGGAGAGGAGCGCAGCCATGAGCACAGAGGAGAAGCCTGAAAGTCATTTTGACTTTGGATGGGCATTGATGTGTGGGTGTGCTTTGATTGGGGCCTTGAGCCTATGCAAGTGGTTGCGGGACTACTTGATTGAGGGCATCGGCGGCATTGGTGTCTTCATGCTGAAGAAGATGACCGCCATGATCAAACAAGAAGAGGTCAACATGACCAATGGGAAGTCCAGCGAGGACAAACAGACCCAAGTGACATATGGAGTCGACTATGGAACGACTGGTGAGTACGAAGCAGAGCTTCAGAAGTACCAGGAAGAATGTTTTTTGAAAGACACGTACATAGAAGAACTTGAACAGAGGGTGAAATACCTGGAAGAACATGTACAGGATTTCTGTGAGCAAGCTGTGATTTCAGATCGAGAAGCCATCAAGTGGCAATGAAGGCTTGCAACCCTCCGAATGACTCCAAGAGGAAGGGTGATCCATTTTTCTCCACAATGCAGATTTTGGGAGCATGGATCAAACCTGAAAATGTGTGAGTACTGCGTGAGCGAAGGAGGAGTGTTTGAATATGACAAGGCAGCATAGGCAGTCACTCATGCAGGAAAGCACGCAACCGACAACCTGGCCGTCAAGGCCCAAGCCCCCGCTTGAAAGGAAAATCGCCCGCGCCTTTCATCTTAGATATCAGTCACATTGAAAGTAACTGCTATCCACCAGAACATCCTGGACAAACAATAAATGTAGATTACCACCAAAAGATAAACTGAATCTTTGATGATCTCCACAGTCGTGACTTCATTTTTGATGTCTCTGCTCCGGCTCGACTGGCCACACTCGGACACACGGTTGCCAGCAAAAGAAAGGACAAGGAACGTGTTGCTTAGGAGGAAAGAGACCCTGGAAGGAATAAGTAAAAACTCCAACACTAGGGAGACCAGATGGAGCACCCGATCCGATGATGAACTCCAAACTCGAAGCTGCTTCTTTGACGACAACACTGAAACATTCTGGTTGACACTCCCAGGAATTCAAGGAGAAAAAGGACACCAACGGCGATGGTATGGACCTGTTCCTTTTGAGGCGATGAGGGTGGCTCTGGAGTTTTCTGGATTCCAGGATGGAGTAAATGCATGCAAATGCTGTAGATGCTGAAAACGAGAAGAACATTTGGTGTGTAGGTTTGCCAGCTGAAGACTACCAATGTTCGACCAAAGAAGAGTTTGGGTGGTTTGCTTGACAACTTGTCAGCCAGATGCAGGATGAATTCGTATTTTCTCTTCTTTCATAGCATCACTCCAGTATCAGACTTGAAATGGGAAGACCATGGAACCAGGCACCGCAAACGAATCCATAATCCGTAGTTTCGACCATTTTTTTCTCCCCTCTGGAGGGTTTGGAGGCCCCGTTTTGATCCGCAGAGTCACCTCTGCGCCTCGCCCTTGGAACGCCCCTGGCTTGACCAGAGAAAAACCCGCCGGAGGCAGTGGCTCTTTCAGAATCGCACCGACTGGCATCGGGTGATGGTGAACCTCAATGACTTTCACGGAGATATCTCGCTGCGCTTGCGGAGCGTGAAGGAGGGGACGGGCCGGGGCGGGGGTGAAGGAGGGCGGCGCGGTCAGGAAAACGAAGCCGCGGTGCGGCGGAGGGTGAAGGGGTTCAAGAGTGAGGAGGTTGGTGTGAGAATCATGGAGAGGTTTGAGGTAATCATGGTGTACTCCGAATCTCATGTGTTTTTTTTTCAATGAGGCATTTGGAGAGGAGGTGCCAGAAGGTTTCTATCAGAAGCAATGATTCTCCTTCGAAGTTGATGTCGCAGTCGTTTTGCGAGCTCGGCGATGATCTCAACTTCAAAACAGTCCAGCAAACTCGATACATTCCGGTAGCGTACCCCACGTGGGCGAGCTATGCAACAGGATAAAACACATCCCCCATTGTTCGGCTCGTGCGACAGATGTAGGTTGGAGGCCATCGCTAGTAGGTTGGAGGCCTTGGCTAGCAGTGATTTTTCTCTCATCCGCGCGGAGGAGTCCTTGGGAGTGTCGAGCTTCCACAACATGAACTCGCAGGTCGTAGAGAACTTGTCCACGGACCCTTTGCTGGTGAGTGACTTGGGCGATCTGCAAGACATGGAACGATAGAGGCGTTCTGGTTTACCAGTGTTTGGAAAGGGGGGTGGTGAAATCATGCTTTAGGAACTGTTCAACTTGTTAGGAGATTATGGATGGGAAAGATGGGACAGGAAGAATCCCAGCCAGACCCCCCAGAAAACGCGAAAACAAGACTTCGCCAGTTCAAAAAAAGCTTCGAGTACTTGCCGCGAAAGGAAGCAAGCTGGAACACCGGACAAATCATGGCACCATCATGCACCATCCAGAACTCGCCGCTTCGCAGCCGCCAGACCCGAGGCACCTTGCGGCGCGAGGTCATGGACGCCTTCCGGGAGGGGAAGATCTCGCGGGTCATCCTGCAGGACGGTCTGCGAAGACATAGTCTATGGTTGACTATTTGATAAACCTGGAGAAGCCCTTTGAAGCTCGAGCAGCAGCACACCCCTACTGTTGCAACACTTGAAACAGAGGAACATCCGCAGTCAGATGTTGTTTCCTCCTTTGCAAGCTTCTTTGGGCAACCTCCGGTCCACTTGCTTGCAATCAGCCATTCCAACACGTTCAAACATGCTACCCCGCAGGCCAGAAATGCCTTTGCTTGGCCACAAGCAGTCAGGACTTGGTGGATCTTCAGAAGAAGCTTCGGGAATCCTGGCTGAACTCCTTGGAGCCGAGCTGGCCTACTGACCCAATCCCAGGTGATGGCATCAACTGTTAAAATCGCTCATCCAGATCTAGGTTCAGAAGTTCCGAGCAGTTTTCATAGCCAAACTAGGGCGGCAGACCTTGCTGTTTCTATTTTTACCTGACTCTTTGTTGTGGCGGAAGGCATCATCATGGCATAATTAATCCCGAGTACCTATTAATAAACACTCCCCAATTAAAAAACACCACGTCCGAACCCCTAAATTCGGTTTATATTTGGTTTTAAATTGCCGCCCTTTCAAACCGCTACTAAACTACCAACATGGTCGATTTTGGGGGTAGTTCTTTTTATTAGGTTCCCCAAAACTCCACCATGACACGCCGCGCTTACACCAGCAGGCTTTCCTTCCCTCAATGGCACGGACTCACGCAAACGCACTTGCCACCGAGGTCATGCAACACCGCATGGCACAGCGACATCACCTTTCGAAAGCTTTAGCTGTTAGTCTACTGAAGAATCACTATTCTAATGAAGGTTTTTGTAGGGGAAAAGGAAGACCCTTCGATCTGGCGGTTTTTTGCATTTTTGATACGAGTTTAATAAAGGATTTTATATAAAATTTTCTTGGATGACTTTTTGGTTTTGAAACTCTTTCCAGGTGACCCTATTTTGGCACCCCCCATTTCAGGGACCCCCTATTAGAAAAAATGCGACCGAGGATTTTTTAATAGGGGGGGGGCCCGTGTTTATTATTAGGAGGACGGGATTAATCAGGACCACAGCTGTTTTGAATCAAGAGGGCCAGCGAACTGAGACCAACTATTGGAGATGAGGTTGCCCTCCCTACCGCTGAATCGCAAGCTCTTGTTTCTGTTGCATGCGTCTTGACCTAGTCATTAGCCATTCCGTGCTGATTCAAAGCAGCACTTGTGAGAACTCTGGTGCTAATTCCGGCCCAGGAGAATGAGGACAAGAGCAAGGGCAGCAGCTTCCAAATGCCTTTACCTGCCACCTTTTCCAGCCTGCTTTCGAGCGCCAAAGAGACCTTGAATCGGATCTGGACCCCGGAAGACGCTGCCAAGCAGGTGGGAGAAAAGGAAAAGCGGTGGAGCAGTTTGGCGACGGAAAAACTTTTCATCCAAGTCAGGGTGAGACAGGTGGTCCTGAGTGATACTGAATGTAGGAGCCTGTTACAACGAGCCAGAGGTGACCGTGCAGCACCTTTTGTAAAACGAGGAGCTGGAACTGCTCCTGAGGCCAAGGAGATAGGCTTGTATAGGGTGCTGGCTAGGTGGGAGATCCAGGGGATCCAAGGAGCGCAGGGGATCCAAGGAGCCCAGGGATCCAAGGAACCAGGACCCTTTTGACATCGTTTGACCTCTCTTGGTCCAAGCTTGCTGGGTCACTAGGTCACTGCGAACGACGCCCCTCAAGAGTGTTGTTTCCAGGGGAGCGCGTTCCACCAGCTCTTCAACCACTCGAGCGGGAGGTCTCGCCCTGGCCCCTGGCCCCCCCTGGCTGGGCGTGCCTTAGCTCGCTCGCCTCCGTCCGCCTTCGTCCCTCTTCCCGCCTTCGTTCCCCCAGGGCGTCACGGAGCTCGATGCTTTGGGCTCACAGACGGTGGAGCAGACCTTGCCGCAGAGGAGCTGGATGGTGGACCTGGACCTCGCCCAAGAGGCCCAGAAGGAGTTCCGCGGCCGCCGGGAGTTCCGCGAGGCGCTGCCCAGGCGCGAGTTCCGCCGCGAGGTGGAGGATGGTGGATGGGGAGGGTGGATGGATGTGGATGGGATGGGTGTCTTGGGGTTGGGTAGAAGTGAAATTGTCATTGGATTTCCTATACCCCAGTCAATGGTGCATGATTGAGAGCGGACAACTCATTGAGGATTTGTAAGATTGGAATGCCACTGTCAATGAAAGAGGACAGGGAGAACATGTTTCCAGATTTGCTGGTCGATAACCTTCATTTTCGAGTTCTTCTCATATCGCCCACCCCAGGCACAAGGGTTCCAATGAATCAAGGATGCACCCCTAACCTGCCCCCCTCTGCCCCTACGCGAAGATTTGACCTCGGCCAACATGCAAGGCACTTGGACCAAGTCCTCACCGCTTTCCAAGACGCGGTCGAGGAGAGCAACAACATCAATGCAGGCCCGGGCGGAACGGCGCCGCGGGCGGAACGGCGGGGTCGGTGGAGGCCGAAGGTGGGTGAACGACCCAGGCGAGTGCTGCTTGCACGGGATCTGTTTGCCGGTGAACTTCGAGGACGTGGGGTCCCTCATCAGCTATGCTTTGCTGAGCGACAAGGCCAAGGAACAGATGGCCAGCCAGTGGAACACGCTGGGAGGGAGGTGCGCATGGAACTGGACTGGAGGGGATGGAGGGGCAAAAAAGGGTGGCCCGCGTGAAGGCGGTCTATTGAAAGGGTTTATCGTTGTTTTGAAGGCAAAACGAAGTTTTTCCGCATGACAAATTTTGGAGCACTGGGTGGGGAGTGCTGGGTGGCCTTGCCATTTTGGCTCAAGCCACCCAGCACTCGTTGCGTTTTTGATGCGATGTGGTGCCTCGCGGTGGCTTGGTATGTATCCATCATCGGAGGCGGCCATTGCGATGTCGAAGGTCTCCGATCTATTGGCCCACTTCGAGGTGGAAGAGGGGCTGTCGCGTGCCTTCGTGGCGGAAGCCGGCAGCCCCGGCGAAGATCTTGGACTGTTGGCGGCCCTGCCGGGTCCGGTGGTGGCAGCCAGCTTGACTCAAACCTCGCTGGACGACAATGGCCACCTCACTGCCATCCAAGCTGCCCAGGTGGGATTGGTGTGGAAACTGGCGAGGCGGCTGATGTATGTTTGAGGTGGTGGTCGATGGGACGACTGGACCGAAGAAGACCCTTGGAGCTCGAGTTCAACCGCGACAAGCTCCCCTTCGAGGCCTACCATGACCATCGACCCCAAGAAGGACACGAAGGAGAGGACACTCAAATTCACCCAAGTCCTGGACCAGGGGGACGACGGGGAGTTCGAGGTGTTGAACGAGGAAGACAAGATGGCGTTGCTGCAGAAGTTCATCAACACGACGGGTGCGCTCCCAGAGGAAGAGGAAGAGCCCACGATAGAACAGCTTTCAGCTCTTCGGAAGAAGCTGAGCTTGGGCAAACCGCCATACTGCGACTTCGGTGTCTTCGTTCCGTTCGGTCGGAAAGCTTTGAGGGCATCGAAGTACAGGACATGGATCCCCACGGCAGACGGCTATGTGTCGAAGGAGTTGCCTGGTCCTGCCAACTTCACCCAATGGCGGGCTTGCTACAGAGTGTTCACGACAGCCATGATCATGTTGCAGGAGAGTTCATTGGCCCCGCTTCACGCCTACGAGCTCTTCGTGGAGAAGTTGACGAGGCTGTACCCGGACGCCTGGCACCTGCAGGTGTACTCCGCCGACGAGATGGCGAGGAGCGAACTGCTGATGCGCTTGAAGCTCAAGATTGTCCTGGACGCGAAGGAAGGCAAAGCTCCACCCACGGGATTCGACGAGAAGAAACCATGGGAAACAGTGTTCAAACAGGTCACGGGGGAGATGAAATTTTGGCAGGACCAGATACATACTCCAGCCCTCACGTGGTTGGCCTCAGGAGCTCGTGGACGCATGCTCACCCCGCAGGAATCGACGGCGCAAGGGAACTTGCGTGGCGGGCTAGAGGCACTTCAACCTTTGATGGAGTCAGGCACCTACGGATCCACTTCACCCGCGGCATCACCTTCAGGGAGGAAGCAGGCGAACAGAGATCGAAAGGAAGCCAAGAAGAGAAAGTGGCAGGCAGAAAGGGAAGAACTCCATCGACTCCGAGAAAGCCGCGGCGATGCAGGGGGAGATCGAGGTCAAAGAAGCAAAGGAGGCGGCAAGAAGGGGAAGGGCAGCAAGAGCTCGGAGAGTATCTGTTTTTCCTGGAACAATGGGAACTCTCCATGTGGATCATTGCCACCGGGTGCGGAGTGCGTCAACTCCACCAAGCGGGCACACAGGTGCTCATCGTGCGGGTCGCCGGGTCACCCTGCGATCAAATGCACCGGCAAGAAGTAGATGCACAAGGCTCAGGTCTTCGAGACGGAGGTGACCATGGTGACGAAGGCAAAGCAGGGGACCAAGATGAGAAAGACCCCAAGGAGGAGGGGAGAGATGAAGAGAAGACGAAACAGGACATGGACAAGAAGATCCAGGACTATGTGCACGCCAGGAAGTTCAGGTTTCTTCATCACTTCGCAGGCCCACGAGATCCACTGGGAGGCGAGATCCATCGAGTGGCCAAGAAGAGGAACCTCAAGGTTGAAGTCATCTCCACCGAGAAGGATTGGGGAGAGGACCTATCCGCTGATGAGCCCTATACAACACCCACCTTCAATGGGCTCGTGAAGGGCTCATCGACGGGTACCGCTCCGGCTTCCCTTGTTCGACGTACTCCCGATTGAGGTTCAGGCGAGCTGAAGGACTTCCACAACTCGTCCGAACTCGAGCAGAACCCGTATACGGCTGCAAGTCCAACAACGATGGACAGCAGAGGGAGTGCGACAGAGGGACAGTGATGATGGCGCGCTCGACCCAGATAGCCGAGGAGATCGCCAAGACACCTACAACGTCCATCGTGGTCAAACCTGTGACGGTGGAAAACCCGCCGCCGTCGGAGCATGAGGACCACTTGTCGGCTTGGGGCATGGCCGAAATGGTGCGGTTCCTTCGTTTGCCTGGCGTGAAGATCACCCTCTTCAACACTTGCGTGTATCAGGCAGACAGAGCCCGAGGCGATCGCCACTGGAAGCCCCAGCAGTTCGCAGGCACGCTATTTGGCATCGAGCAGATGAACGTAAGTGTGGGGACTCCAAGCACAAGGCCATCATCGGCAAGAAGGCTTCCCAAGAGTCAGGAGAATATCCATGGGCGCTTTGCAACAAGTACGCCAACCTCCTGATGGACCACTTCGAGAAGATGGCAACGGCAGAGTTCTTGGAGGGGCGGATGAAGGAGCTGGAGCAATTCCATGATGGCCTGTCATCCAGCCACGGAGATGAGGCAGAAGAGGAAATCGGAGGGGGTGGCCATCGCCTGAACCGGGCTCATCCCACAGGAGTGGAAACCTGGACACGGCCGAATCTGAACTACCTCAACGAATCCGAGATGAGCTTCGTGGAGACAAGGGCCGGCTGGCCAAGGACCGCAGCAGGGAGAGGAGTGAAAGGAGAGCCAAGGGGCGATCGAGGGAGAGGTCGAGTTCGGCACGAAGGGGACGAAAAAGGCCAAGGTCAGCCAGCCGTGAAAGATCCCGTGAAGCAAAGGGGGACACAGCCTTGAAGGAGAACCTGAGCTGGAAAGCAGGAGAAGGGAGATACGGCCTGCTACGCGAAGAGAACAAGAAGGAGCAGAGATTCGACCAGCAGACATTCGTTGGTGGGATGAAGAACCCGGCGGAGGTGGTTGAGGGCTTACCGTCCCTGCAGAACCTCGGACGGAGGATCATGGGGGCTTGGGAGAGACACTGCAACCGCTACCCCCACTGCCTGAAGGTTGCAGAAACGTACGGGACGAGGAGAAATGGGTGATGAAGTGGAAGGAGGAACTGAGGAAGGTGACGGGGGCAAGAGGAGCGCCAGCCTTGAAGCTGAAGGGGAAGTGGAACTACACCTCGCCGCTCGACCAGAGCTTGTACGAAGCTTGGGGGAGACGAGGCAATGACCCGGAGGTGGAAGTGCCCAAATGGATCGAGTTCGGCGTGCCCCTCGGCATCAACTGCCCCATCAAGTCCTGCAACATCTTCCCCCCGGCACTGAAGCAAGACTCCCCCGCAAGGCAAGACGACTGGCAAGCAGCACAGAGCTTCAGGGAGGACATCGGGAACTACATGTCGGTGCGAGATCAAGAAGAAGACGCAAGGGTGGAGATCAACAGGTTGGTCCCCATCGAGAAGACAGAAGCGGAGGAAGCGGGGTTGAAGGGAATCACGGTCTCTAAGCTGGGCCTCATCGTCAAGACGAAGGAAGATGGATCCAAGAAGAGGAGGATCATCATCGATCTACGTCGATCGGGAGGAAACAACAAAGCAGTGCTACCCGAGAGGCTGATCCTGCCGAGGCCGCCCGACGCCATCGCGATGTTGAGGAAAATGCATGCTCTACATGCGGAAGATGCCGCGCCGCAGGAGAGGACGATGGAGATGGTGCTGATAGACGTGTCCGATGCGTTCATGCACCTGGCCATCAAGGAGGAGGAGAAAGGCCACTGCTTGGCTCCGGCGCTGGACTCACAACATTGGCTATTGTTCGTGGCGCTCCTGTTCGGATACAAGACGGCTCCGCTGACTTGGAGCAGGGTGGCGGCCATGACGGCAAGGCTCATACAGTCCATCATCCCAGCAGAGAAGGGCATGCGCCAGGTGTACCTGGACGACTCCTTCTGGGTCTTGCGTGGCAGGATAATTATAGCAACCCGGAACAGGACGCTGGGTTGCATCCTCACTACGATGGCCGCCCTCGGCCTGCGCCTGTCCCTGAAGAAAGGAGAAAGATCAGCTGATGTGACCTGGATCGGGGTGAAGTTCAAGCTTGTCGCCCCGGACTACGACTACCTTATGGTCACGCTTCCGGAACGCTTCATGGAAGAACTGCGCAAGCAGCTCGAGGCCTGGGACAAGAAGGGCATGATAGGAGTGAATGAACTGAGGCAGGCAGCCGGGCGAGTTGCTTGGCTGGCAGGCGTCCTCCCCAGAGCGCGATGGGTCACTTCAACGCTCTACGCTGTCCTCTATTCCCACGAGGAGGATCAAGCGAGTGGAGCAGAAGCGGAGAGGAGGGCAAAACGCCAAGACGACCGAGCAAAGGACCACCTGATCCCAGTGAAGCGGGTGGAGAGGGCTAGACAGTGGCTCATGACGTACCTGGCCGCGGCGAAGGAGAAACCCATAAGGAAATACAACCTCTACAAGAGCGGCAAAGCCGAAGTAGCCTTAATGACGGACGCATCCCCCCTGGGGTTAGGCGCCGTCCTCCTGGTGAACGGCCGGGTGACCAAGGCATTAGCTTCTCCGGTGGGTGAGCTGGATGCCAAAACGCTGGGTTTCGCCTTAGGTGAATCGAGCTCGGGGCTGTGGAAGCCCTGGCCATCCTCGCCGCCCTCAAGCACTGGGGAAAGCTCCTCACATCGGTGAACGTGGCCATCAACATCCAGTCAGATTCAGTGACTGCGCTGGCCCTCACACAGAAGTTTCAAACAGCAATGCCACCCTGAACTACCTCGGGGCGGAACTCGCCATCACCTGCGAGGCCCTGGGCCTCACCGAGCTCAACCCGATCCACCTCCCAGGAACCGCAAACAAGGAGGCCGACTTCCTTTCTCGACCTGACACATGGAAGTCCACCTCGATGCCAAAGGCACTGGAAGGCATCCAAGTCGAGACGCCCGTGGAGCGGACGACGGAATGGTACAGACTCCCACCGCCAGGCCCCGACACCTCGGCTTGGCAGGAATCTGAAGCCATGCTGGCGGCGTGGGCACACCGCAACTAGCGGGAGCCAGCCGTGTGTCAAAAGAGGTGATGGTTCCGGGGTGGGAAGGGGGGGGAGAAAGAGTAGGTTGATAAGATCCCAAACCAACTACCTCCTTGTCGGGTCCGTCGACCGCATCGTTCACACGCTCCTGACAGGACAAAGAAGACCGCCAGTCGCCATTTGGGCCAAGATGGAGATCGCAGTCCGGGCCATCCCACCGGTCACACCGACCGACGAGCCCCAACCGGTTCGTGCGTGGCTGGCCTACTTGCTTTTCTACCTCATCGCAACCAGCGCGATAGGGCATGCGCTCCTGATTTGGACCTGCTGGCGCTGCTGCCGAACTCCGCAGGAACACCCAGCGAGCAGAAGAGGGCGGAGTCAGAGGACGACCAGTGGGTGGAGTCATGGGATATGGACTACCACAAGGAGGCGGAGGTGAACCTGCCATCATGGACAATCCCGGAGTCAAGCTCCCCTGGGCAGAATTGGTGGAGCGCTTGGGGCACACGCCAGAAGAAAGGGGAACATCGACCGCAGCCTCGACGGTTATGGATACTCCAACCCCGAGCTCAATGAGGCACCGCCCGTATGGGCCCAGCTCCAACTCCCCTCGCCTGAGGGAATCCATCAGGGAAACCGAGGGAATGTCATGGCTAGTTACCAGGAGGCTGAACTCCAAGGACCACTAGTGGCAGCTGTGACCCACTTCGACCTGGAGTACGAGGACGAAGCCACCTCAACCAGGGAGTTCGCCGAGGTCACGAAGGTTCATGGCAGCACACCTGGAAACGAAATCGATGCAAAGAGATGAGGTGAAACCCGAGATGAACCCGCCGGGGCGAAGGAAACCAGCGTGCACAAGTTCCCACCTGAGCCTCCCTCCTCACTCTGGGGAGTGGGAGAAGGCGAATGTGAGGGGCTGGTGAACCTGGTTAGAAGAAACAGGAAGAGATCACTCGCGCGCGCTACGCCTCAGAGGAGACCCCCGCCTTCGTCGAGATCTCAACAGCCGGAAGGCACCCAGGGGCGAGGAGACGAAATTCGTCGGGGCGTTGGAGGTCGCCTACGGCGCGAAGGAAAACATTGGAAGGGCAAGCTGAGGAAAAGACGGGCGGACCTACCGTTGGCGCCCAAGTCGAACTCCAGCCAGAAAGGGAAACAGAAATGGAAGACTGCTATCAAAACCGCCAAGCTCTTCAAGCTGAACCAGAGTAAAGGGGAGAACGTGGTGAAGGACTTCAAGCTACACTACTACGCCAACTCCTCGCGGAAAGCCAAGGCCTCAGTCAGGAAAACCGTGGAAGGCATTTTGGATGGGCTTGGCGCATGGGGCAAACCTTGCTGCTGGTCGCCGGAGACGCTGGAGCAAGTAGGGGCTGTGCTCAAGGAGTCGAAGTACAAAGCAGGACACGCCTATCTGTCCGAATACAAGCAACTCTTGATCGAGAAAGGCACGCCGTGGTCCCACCAGCTACAACGAGTCTTCACCCAAGTGACGAGGGCGCTGAAACGCGCACAGGGGCCCGCTAAGAAAGCTGCTGAAGTTCCCGAAGCCCTATGGATGGAGAAGTGCAGATCCGAAATCAACGAGCAGATGGTGGGCACGATACACTACCCGGCCCTGATGTTCGCCTTCGCCACAACGTGGATGCTGAGAGAAGTTGAGCTAGCGGCCATCTACAAGGAAGACATCACCATCGAGGAGAAGGATCGGATAGTAGCACTACATCTGAGGATCACGAAAGGCGACCAAGAAGGGCAAGGGATCAAGAGGACATTACAATGCTGCTGTGGGGACGTATGTGACTGGTCCTCCCCATGCCCCTTCATGATCACCAAGGCCGCCCTCGACTCTGTCCCCATCGAAGAGGACATGTTGGTGCATGGAGACACCACCGACGGCCCAGATCGTGAACTCGTGGAGGGATTTGTTCGGCAAGTCTGTCACTGGCCACTCTGGGAGAAGATCCGGCGCCCTACAATACATCCGACGAGGTTGGCAAGTTCCCCAAGTCGCCTACCTGGAGAGATGGAAGTCGAATATCATCTTACAGTATGCCGAGGAGGCCTTGGAGACGATGCCTGTCATGGCCAACCCCAACAAGCCGAAGGCGCAGAGTTGCACACAACCCGAACAGAGCAAGCCACCCTCCAGAGGAAAGACTCTAGAATACGAGAGGAAGCTCAAGCTGGAGATCGATCACCTGAAGAAGGCCCAAGAGAAGTTAGATGAGTCCATCACGAGATGGGAAGACATTTCAACGAAGAATCATGGCCTACTTCCTCCCACGGTGATCACCAAGGGCTGCATCCACGCTAACCGCAGGACGCCGGTTGCTTCGCCGGTTTCCACCTGGCACACCCGGTGCGGTTGGCCTTATGGTTCCTCATCATTCTCTTTCGGCCTCGACAGCGACGCGGTGACTTGCATCAAATGCTCCAACTTCGCGCCAAGCACATGAAGCCAAAAACTGGCGAAGTGGTGGAGGTGAAGACCAACTGAGAGGACTACCACCGGTTGAAAAAGCGTGAGCTTTTGTTAGGGTGGATAGTGCTCCCCGTTGTCTTATCCCACAACTCAGTGACCACTGACCTGTCATTGGTTCATATCGATCATAATACATCTATATAACATGTATGAATATCATACTACAATGCATAGTGTAAGTAATATATATATATATAAATACTATATTAATTCCTTTGATTCCTTTTTCCATTTGCCACACATCCGGAAATGCCGGGAATGGCCGGAACAGGTCGTGCTGTCCGCTTGAGATCCAAGATGCATGTTTCCGGTCGCTGCCCAAATGCCTTCAGCGGCCTTCGACGCGATCCGAATGGGACGCCCGGATACGTGCAGATCGGTGTGAATCGACACCCACTGGGCATTTAGTTATTTCTGATCAGCTACTATCCATGCCAAAGAGCAGGACAAAGGGAAAATCCCTCCTCATTGAGGGTCCCGGGTTTGGTTGTTTTCTTTTGCTTGAATTGTGGAGATGTTCGAGCTTTTTCTGGGCGATATGGGGAGTCCCTCAGCATGAATGATTGGATCCCACCATACGTCTGTTCAAGGCATTGATGCCCCGAGACTACTTGGACTCAAGATTCCTCAAGATTGGATTTGGAGATTCATCTGATGGATGCGCTTTTCTTGTTGTTTGAACATCAAGGGCGGTTTGCGAAGGGAGTTACAGCCTTCAACCCACTTGCAGGAGGGACCTTGAACTTGTGGTCACCAGGATCCTTTTCATGTGTTTTTGTTCAGCATATTTCACCGGTCTGCTCCGCTCACAGTCTTTGTTCACGTGGGCTCCAAGAAAAAGGCTGATCTAGATTCTAGACACCACAGATTTCCGGTGACGTTCTTTCACTTGCTTTTGGATGCTACCCCCGCCTGTGAACGATGACCGGCCATCAAGCGGGGCGGCCCCGTGTTTTGCGGGGATTTCCCACTCAGGAGGGCACCTGGAAGCCGGTGCTCGAGGAGAGCGAGGCACGGCGGAAGCTCAAAGCAAAGCCTTGGAAACTCTGCGGACGGAGCTGTCCTGCGGCCTGGGAACAAGCGGCTGAGGTGCGATCGAAGTTGGGATGGGCGATGGCTGGGAGAGAAGAGGGTTTTGAAAGGCGATGAAGGCCGCATGGGCATTGAAGTGGGCGTTGATTAAAGCACGGTGAAGGCTGCGCAATTGTGAAGTAAGTGTACGTAAGTGTTGCATTTTGTGCAGTTCGCTTGCGTGAAGCCCGTATTGAGGATTTGATCCAGCGCTTCGAGAGTTGTCATTCTGTCCATTTGTCATCAGATCTTAGCTGACTTTGTTTCAGGTCTGGGATGAGCACGAGTTGCAGCGCGTTTCAGAGGAGGGGGAAACTCATCCCATCATAGGGCGAAGCCAGGCTTCGCCTGCCCACCTGATGTGATGTGAATGGCATCCAGGAATCCCAAAGATCCTAATGTCGTACACCCCGAAGACATCCCATGGACGATAAACACCTCCTGTCGGTAAAAGGGTATTCATACAGTTGGTCAAAGGTGCGTGTAAGGGGTTTCTACCAAATATAAAGCAACCTTTTGGATGCTGTCCAATCCGTCCGCGAAAGATCCGCGATGAAGCGATTAGGTTTGCGAAAGTAGTTTTGTTGCTTTTTTGTTCAAGCGATTTATATAATATCAATTGTCTTCATTTTCATGTAGACATGGAAGGCAATCCTCTGGCTGAGGCAACGCTCCGCAGCTCTGACAGATTGTGTAGATGTTTGCGCATGATGCCGCAAAGTTCTGCGAAGGTGCCGGTTTCATAGGGCATAGGCTTCTTCAATGCATCTTGCCTTGCCATAGCAAAGCTCATCAGTGAGCACCTTGTTGACTTGTTGAGCGCTTCAGAGCAGAAGGAGAGGGTCTCCCCTCCACAAGGCCCTCATGGCTGTGATTTCCGGTGCGGTAGACACGTGTATGTAGACACGGCGGCCGGGCCGCAACTGTTGGTCGAAGATCTTGACATCTGCCCATTGCTCGGAATATGGCATTTGACGATGCAGTGGCCCTGGGGCCCATGCTGGCAGTTGTCTGGTGACTTGGTCTCTTTGCGCGATAGTGATACATTTGTCCATTTGTTGTCGATGACCTTTGGAGTGAGAGCTTTTTCAGCTTGGCGGTGTGTGTCGCCGGTGTCGTGGTATCCGTTTTGCCCGGTTTGCTACAGCTCGCGGGTGGTGAGGTCATGCCAACGCTGAAAAGATGTTGTTTGAGCTCGCTAGGACTGCGTCAGCTGCAGCTCTTTTTGGAAGGTGTTCTTCGACCAATAGCCTGAGCATTTTTTGTCTATATAGTGACTTAGTTCTTGTATTCGTAAGTTAATGTAGCTAAGTTCACCAAAATTTGCAAAGCCATCAAAAACAGTGTAGAAACAGTTAGGCGCCACAATGTCAGACACAGTCGCTCCCAGTCAAGTTGCCCACAGATCCTTTTCAAGTATTGGTACCTCTCAAGTAACTCAAGTACTTCGGGCACAGTTTGAAACATTATGGCTTCCACCAAGTACTTGAGCCAGGATTTTGTAACTCAAGAGACTCACAGGAGTCTGTGAGAAGTCCTTCACAGATACGGCGCGCACGTATTTTGTTCTCACAAGTGCCCCATCAGTACTCGACAAAGGGCTTCAAATACCTCTAGCGCATCCTAAAATGCTGCGACTGTTTCCAAAGAACTTCAAGCGGTAGTGATAGCCAAACCTATGTCCCTCACCCATGCTTCTAACCAAACATAAGATGTGGTGTGTGTATGTGTACATTGATTCCGTGAACTGTGCTCTCAGTCTTTCAGTGCCATCTTAAGAAGACTCAAGGTAAGACTCTTGAGAAACATGTTCAGCTTGGAGCTCTGCTTGAGGAAACTCACCCTTGAGGTCTACTCTACATGTGCGTCTGTTTGTTCTTGAGCTTTATTTGAGAAACTTGATGCTTGAGATCCACATGTGCCGCCGTGTACTTGAGCTTTACTTCAGAAACCTGGCGCTTGAGCTCCACAGTACATGTGAGTTTGAGAGCGTGGTATGTGCCTGGGAGACTTTCAGATTGAACTTTACTTGCGTACTGTCATGGAAGACGTGCGTCCATAGGGCTTGTCATTAGTTTTGCAATTTGTTTGGGAAAGTTCATATGCAATTAGTATGCGGTTTGTATGCAGTTCATATGCAGTTTTTAAGAATATGTGTTCTTCGCAGTAAAATACATGTGTTTAACAAGAGATGAGCTCTTACAAGATAGGATGCCTAGGGGTCTTACTAGAAGAGCCAATTTTCATAATGTTTTTTGTTGTACCCATGGCTGATGAGGCCAGGTCAGCAGTGTTCCAGGTGGCGCTGATTAGGCTGAGCCTGAACTTCCAGAAGGCGATGTCATCATGAAGCAGCCATAGGGCAAAACCAAAGGGCAAAGCAAAGTGTGTTCCCAACGCCAATGGGTGAACATTTTTCTTTACGCGAGGATTGGGGGTGGGGATGGGCGGGGGGTAACAATGTTCCGTATCTTGTGTCTTCTAATGTTAGAACACTGATCTGCGTGTCATGTCTACGCAACTTGAGAACGTCAATGAGGAAAGTGTGGTTGATGCGGGTCAAATGAACAAAGAGCGCCTGATTGTCATTACGCGCGCGCGCGAATACGACTGCTGGCCTCGACAGCAGTATCCAGGAGTATGTGTCCTCCTTCGCGTGGCGCGCGAATATGCGCGATCACTTGTGAGAGCTCTGGCAGCCAACGCCGCTGGCAGACCAGTTTTCATCTGGCCCACGGTAAACGAGAAAATACGAGAAGAAACACAAGCGTCATCAATTTTCCAATGTAAGGCCCTTTGAAGACGCGCCATAAAAATGCAAGACAGCCGAAATGCTGTAAGGGCTGTTGAAATGCACGACCAAAATGCGCGTTTCGCGGGGTTGTTGCGGGCGGCGTGACCTTTTTTGGGGGTAATTTCGTTGACCCTGCTGCGCTACCCTGTGTTGGTAGGTGGCACGAGGGTTGGATTGAGTTGAGCCTGACTCTATTCTAAGATATTCTAAGCCTCCTCCAGGACCTGCCTCAAAGTTTGGCGCGCAGATGTTGCAAGTGACCTGGAGTAACTGTAAATCTCAAGGTCATGCTGCAAGATGCCAGTCAATATTTCTTTGGTACTACAAACTTAGGTCGACACAGTTTCATTACATGTTAAGTAACATGGTTCTAGGCTGTTTTGGGAGCATGGTTCGCAATGAGGCCGCGAAAGGTATGTTTTGTCCGCGAAGAGTTGCCAGTCCATATTGAAAGCACTGATCAACCACCAGGCAACCACCAATTAGATCTGTAATGATCGGTGCAATATAGATAAATAAGCAGTCTTCCGAAAAGGACCATGCCATCCATTTCCATGATGTCAGGCTTTCGTCGGAACGCAACTTTAGTCCCAAGCTGATTCGCTCCGCCGATAGTCGGCATGCGAGCCGTTGAGTCATGCGATGCCCCAAACACCCGTCGTAGTGGATTTTGCCAAGGGGTGCCATGGCTCAAAACCAGAAATACCGTGAATTCGTGCTAAAAAACTGACTTTTGCATTGGCAGCAGCCAACACTCCAACGCCTGGATCAGTTTGCAAGCGATTGAGTTTGACTCCTTCCCATTTCTGAACTAACACATGCCAACGGCTTGACGCAGGAGTGGGAACAGGTGGGTTTGCGGAGTGTCCTAACGGGTGCCGTGAACAAGGAACCGGTGAAGGTGCAGGGCTCGACTATCCGGGCAGCTTAGTGGGGAGGCAATCATGCCCTTGCGGCCAGTTCTATTTTGTGTGAGCGTTGTTGAAAAAACAAGCGTCAACACATTTTGATACAGAGCGGCATGTATTGTTGTCAAGATTTCGATTGACATCATTCCATTATATAATTTGTGATGGAAAACTACCACTGCTGTTGGTCAGTTTGTGTTGTTATTATATATATATATATATTTTTTGCAGCCAATGACCAAACGGGATCAAACGTGTGGGCATCGGCTATATATAGTCAATCGGAGTCAATCGTGAGGAAGAGGAACCTTGGGCCAAAAGATATGAATCACTGAGCCATTGCAATCGGGCAGGCGGAGCATATTCAATTTACAGTAGCATGCCCAGATGTTTTCAAGGTGGACTTCGAGGACAAGCAGGGGAAGTATTCGGTGTCCATCCACTTCGCCTGTCACTTCCACGCGCTTCGTCACTGGATATGTGGAGACGACCTGAACTTTGTGCGCTCCTTGCACCGGTGCAACAAGACCTCCATGAGCGGTGGCAAGACGGGAGCAAGCTTCTATTCGTCTCATGACGATCGATTTCTGTTGAAGGCCTAGGGGGTTGGAGGCGTGTTTTGGGAATCCCAACAACACGGAATGATTTGTTGATGGTTTTGGTCTGGTATGTTTGGTTTTTCATCAAGCTATCCGGAGAGACTGAATCTGCCTGGGAAAGTGGGAAGGTTCCTTTTGGAGGCCTGAAGGTGGACACTCGGGCGAATTTCCCTAATGGATCCTAGTGAAAACAACGTCTAATCAATGACAAAGCAGGAAGATTGATTTGGGCGGCCAGATTGCAAGCAAGACTGAGACTGCAACTTCAAGCAAACCGTGTGAACATGCACTAGCCGGCTAATGTAGGCGAGCGTTTTCAAAGAACCCAAACCATCGTGAAATGGACCCATGAAGCATCATGCTTAAGACGGTCAAAACCTGAATCCCAAAGCTTGGGTTGTTGATCTCCCCGTTCTAGTTTTTGATGATTATGGTGGGTCAATGTGATTCATATCAAAGCAATTCAAAGTATATCAAATTCACTCAACACTTTGGATTTCCCTTGTTCAACACATTGATCGATGTCTTGACCGTAAACGTTCTCATTGTGAACCAACCAACCGCGACCAAATCTCGCAACCGGAGATCTCCGGCTTGGAACATCTCGAAGTCGACCAGCTTGGAGGCGCTGAACAAGCCGGAGTTCGACAAGCTGGTCATGGAGGCGAATAGCCTCTTTTGGTACTTCGATAAGGTGCCGACCAACGGACCAACGGAAACAACGGAACCAATGGGGCCGACCGGTGTATGGGGGTGACAAGGCGGGCATGGTCCGTCGTTGTCGGGAGGTGGCAGGTCGCTGATGTGGCATGTACTGGCCGGTGATTGAATGTTTAGGACATCATGATGGAAGATTCAGAAGCAAAAGAATCAAAGAGCAATGGCTTTCGCACATTGCGCATGGGCTTGGAGATTCACCGACTCCTGGCAACCTCGTCGTTCCGTTGCGCCGCTGCTTTTTGCGGCGCGTCACGTAACCTCAGCGTGCGTGACTTCGTGACCGAGGTGCTCTTTGAGAAGTTGCCCTCGGTCTTGACGCAGGTCATCGGGCTGTTCACCGTGTCGGCCACCAAGAAATCTCAGAAGCACCAGGGAACCTCGACTCCAAGCATGGAAACCATCACAAACACGCGGTCCTTTCGTTGGGAGAGAAGGGAGGGTCGGTGAGGCTTTTGCGGAGCGGAGGGTCGGCAAGGCTGGTGCAAATGACCATAGACTAGGCTGGAATCTATGGGATATTATATGATAAATTCGTTGGAGGGAGGAGATGTCAATGTCAAAGCCAATCTGTCGCAGTTTCAGCTGAGGTCATATTCAGTATATAAGTACGCTGCACGAGGTAAACACTTTGCTTTTCTGTTTGGGTGTGAGGCTTGAAGTGATTGGGCCGTGTCACTCAGGAACCCTCCAAAACCGCAGGTGAAGGGGTCTCAAACGGTCTCAAATCGGTCAATTAACAATTGGGTAAAGCTAAACTCAAGCAGACCCGACTTTCACTTTTGCGTTGGAGTTTCAACCCCTGTGTTGTTTTGTATTCAGCACATGTTTAAGATCCGACCTTCGACTTGGAGGTCAGTTGGGAGGGGAATCTCTATATATACACAGCAATATTATACGTATTATATAAAATAATACACTTTACTTTATATGCCTTTTTCTTTTCATCTCTTTAATGGATAGTAGGACTTAGTAGGGGGAAGACTCCTTAACGCCTGATAGCTTACAAAAGGGGGACCGGGAGGACTTTCATCACCCGAAAATCCGGGGTTTGCTTCAATGGTTCGTTCCCTTTGCCATACAGTAACTGCATTTGTCGTCCTTTGACAGGGGGGGGTACTGTACCAAGAAAGAAGGCGGATGTAAATTATATAAGCATAATGACACAGCCAGGTTTGGGTATTTTTGATGTGAGTCAATCATATACATACAAATCAACCTTGTGTTTTTGGTTAGAAGTCATGACGTCATCTTTACTATCCTGCCATGGGGACGGTTCCCGGTGTGCTCCTGCTCGCCTTCACATAGGCTTCTATGTGGTCCAGAAGAACCTTCAGTTCGGGCTCAGCCACTTCGGCCCCAAAGTCTTCGACTTGAAGGGCGTGGGGAAGCAGCGCCGCGTGGAGACGCAGCTGGAGGAGTCGCCCAGGTCCTCGGCCTCGGCGCGCCCGGTCTTCTGGGACCAGAACTTCCGAGACGCTCGGGGGGGCCGAACGGCGGGCGGGGAAACGGGGGTGGAACCCGGCACCAAGCACCGGATGGCACCGTACGCTATCCCGTCTTCTGGGAGACCATGGCGTGCTATAGATGGGGGGATGGACCCCGGGGATGGATGGAAAAGCAGACGAGTTGACCAAGAGACATCAGATTAGAGGTTGAAAAGGCCGTGGGCCGTGACCATCCGCTGTAAGGGATGCTGGTTAATCTCTTGCCACAGGTCAGCGCTTCTTGAACTGTTTTGATCCCGTTGAAAAACAATCCAAAGAATTTATGATATTTGTAGCTAGTTGCCATCGACCCCCATCGACCTAATCTACGTGTCACAAGAGGTTCCTCCCCCAAACCCAATACAAAAAGAGTCTCCTTCTTTGTTCGACTGAGGAGGATGGTTGGTCCATGTTGGTCCCAATTGGGGGGCGAACCGAATTTGTCTCATGTCAATCTAATACATTGCACACGAAAAACCGCCACCGCCATGCGTTGACAAAGCTTCACGTCCCAGGAATGGACCAGCGGAAAACCGCTCTACCTGGCGCAAGAGGACTTGAGCTATTTGGAGGCAGCCATGTGACCTGGCAGCATATTTGTCAGCAAAGGTAACAGACAAGTCATACGGCTTCCTGGAAAAGCAACAATTCGTTCTGCAAGATGGCACACGCTACTTGTTAAGCACATGTGTAGTGTATGGGCAAGATATGCGTAAGTTGTGATTTTCGAAGATGATCATCAATCAGTCAAAACTCACTCTAAAGAACACAACCTCACGATATGTACACACTGTATGCACATTTCAGTACAATCCAACTTTTTATACAACCTACGACATAGGGGCTCGATCATGGGTTTTGGTCGGTCGGTCCTTCGACCTTTATATCGAGTTGAGAAGCAAACGGCCAGACATTCCTTTGTGCCAGAACCTCCCGTCGGCATGACGAGAACCTCGGGCGACGACACCTCGCGGTTTCCTCGCGGTCGCCGAGGTTCAACGACACGACCCTGCTGTCCACGCTCTACTTGATGGACTACTCGCTCTTGTTGGCCGCCGTGCCCCCGGAGGGCCCGCCGAACTCGGGGCGGCTGTCCATGGGGATCATCGACTATTTGCGGGCCTACACAGTGGACAAGAAGTTGGAGAGTGCAGTGAAGACTCTTCGATGTACAACTCAAATGCATTTTGAAAGGTGAGCCATTGCAAAATGCTTGTTGATAGAGCATCTCATGCAAACAGCCTTGGCAAGAGGCTTTGGTTGGGGCATGTGGAATCATGTGGAAGGTTATATAATTAATTGGTTGGTTTTAAATTCCCATGATGCCTCGGCTTGGAATGTAGGAGTGGTTTCTTGGGGGCCCCAAACATTGCGGCAATGGCACATCTTCGTGATCATTCACCAGGCACCACCACGGGTCGAGCAGCTTGGACTGAGGACCCTGCAGACTTCTTTGTCACAGAGTCATCCGGAACAGCCCACCATCATCAACCCGATTGAGCATCTGGGTTTGGGCATGCTTCGAGATGGATGGACTGTTGGAGAATGCAGAACATGGTTACAGGCTCTGACAGGCTAGTGGCCTCTGTGAGGGGCCTCCACACCAATCTTCTGATGGATCATCATGTGGGGCCAATGCCCCGGCCCAGAACAGAGAACTCGGCTGAAGGACTCCACAGGCTTTGATGCAACTTCAAGTGAGTTGGTCTCTTTAGGAGGGTTGAACAAGGAGCCGCATGGTCAGAGAGTGCCTTGTGAGAGTGAACTATGCATGCGATGCAAGAAAGCAGTTCTGATTTGGCTGGTGGTGCTTCTGGGGAACATGATTTGGTTCATTTTGTTCCAAGTAGGGGTCCTTACCCAAATGGAGCCACGTGACCTGCCGCCACCTTTCAAAATATCGCAACATCCGTTGCTTAAATGAAGAATCGTGAAGAATTCGAACCAAGCCACCAGTTAACGTTGATTAAGGAGGGGAATGAACTTCTCCCCAAGCAAATCCCCCCAGAGCCCTGGTGAGGCACTGGTGAGGCATCAACTCGTAAGTAGATAGGCAGAGTAGCAACAGCCCAATTTTTTGGAAACATATCGAACATTTCATGTCACATCCAAAGCAAACATGGCAGACATCTCACCATCTTCATCTTGCCCGCGCACCCATCGCCTATGCATCTGCTGGCAAAGGTATGCTGGCCGCTTCATGCGCGCGATGGGCACCTATTTCGTGGCAGACCGGAATCATGAGATCGACGAGGATGGAAGGGACGGGGAGCTCTGGCCCAGCTGACACCCAGATCGACGTGGCCGGGGCGACCGGCGACGGAGATTTCTTGACCGGTGAGGGACTGTCAAGAGCAGCGGCTGTTTGCCGCTCGGAAAGAGGGAAGACATTGTTTTACGTGCTTGGAAACTTTGTTTTGGAGGTTGAATCATTTGATATCATTAAACTTGTTTTTGAACTTACAGTATTGACTGTTCCTCCTGTACATAGTTTGATTGCGCGGCGTTGGCCGAACGTGCCCAATTGTCCTGAAGATCCGCGCAAAAAAATATTCATTCGTGAAACTCCAACGTGTTTTAATAATCCATAATGAACCAAGAATCACCAATATGAAACACTAAAATTGATCACATACATATTGAGAATAACGCCGTGTGGGCATGGTGCCCAGGTCATCATTGAAGGAAGGGAAGAACAATCAGATGGTGGAGAAAAGGACAAAGACAACCAAACAAACAAAAAACAACCGCAAACCATAGCCCACAGGCCGAGTCTCCACCATTTTGTAGTCTTTCCTCTGTACCAGGTGAAACAAGTGAAACGAAAACTATAGATTATCAATGGGCCTGAATTTTCGAAAGAAGAGCATGGCAGCGCGGGTTTGTGCTCTAGCAAAGTCTCCAAAAAATCTTCAAATGGACTTCACCTCTTAATTACCAGTGACCAGCGCTGGAATTGTCGATGGGCGAAAGAAATGAATATAGGGGGTGTGGGGGAATGATGATTTAATTTAAGGGCTGCCGCCCCTGCCGCCGACCCTGCCGCCGACCCCGGGATTCATTAAGGAGGAGGAATATTGCAGCTTGCAGTCGCCAAAAAGCTATGGTTGAGGTGACTTTCCTTCATGCACATGGAAGTGAACCTGTTTGTAGACGATGGTCCTCTAAATCCATGTTGGCCATACTACCCATTTGTAGGATTGTTTTAGGGACAGCAGGAGTGGTTATGGAGCTGCTCTGTAACTTTGGCCCAGACGTTGCGCCAGTCCAAAAAAGACATCTCAGACTTGAGAATTGTAGGCTTCGGTCATAGTGCAAGTGCATATAGTAACATGATGCAACATGCAGGAGTGGTAGCCAGACCAGTGGCAAACGGATAGATTTGCACGGATTTGCAGATTGAGGGCATTATCGAAAACATTCAACCACTATTTATACATACACTCCTGCACGAATCTTTAGGTTCAGGATGTTGTAGGTGTGTTTGTGTAGATAGGAGCCTATATAGGCCATATAAGAATAAACCAAGCATACATGATATGACTCTAATCCAGTTTGGCGAATCATGGGAATCCTAGTTTAGTTCTAAGTGGTGGATCATGTACAGAAGCAATGCCTTCAGGCGGCTTCACTTGTTTCCCGCCTTAAAGACGGCGCCCCTCTTGGACGTTTGGGACCTAGATTCAAAGAGTTAAGAGGCACGTTCGCATCCTCAACCTCCACACCGGTTCTTTCCACCGCCCGGTTCCAAGAACTCCAGTCTGGTGGGCCCATGTTTGCGACTTTGCGAGCTGGTGTGCATTGTATGTACCAGCATGTATAGTTCTTTGCGCATTGGTGCTACCCAGTTGGATCCTCATCCAATGGGTTTTAGTGATGTCTAATTTCGGATGCAGCATTCATTGCCGAGATTTGCCAAGCCCATATGGCCATGGGATATAAAATTTAACAAGAATGTAGAACCTCATTGGAGTGACCAGGAGACTTCCCCAGTTACTGAAACGACTCGGTGGCTCGTGGAGAAAGGACAGAAAAACATACAGCACCCCAACAAATTGAAGCGATGAAGCGGATGAAAAGAGGACCGGTAAGCAACATTCTGCACATGGGCCACTTGGAGAAGACCAGTGCGCAACTGGGTCGGCTATTTTACATCTTTCGCCATGGCCTGTGTGGCGACTTTGAATGGCTTCTTCCGAGAGGAAGTGCCTTGGCCTTGCATCGAAAAGGGACATAGATTTGGGAGAGCCCGCAACTAGCGAGTGTTAGTTAGTCTATTCGTCCTTTTCCCGAGTTCTTTGGTAGGTCTTCTTGCTTTTTTTGCGTAGGTAGCCATAATGGCCTCTTTGCTCATTGCGACATGGCACGGCTGTAGGCTGTTTGTTTTTATAAGCCTTTGATCCGGGAGATACACACGCGTTTGTTTGATCCCTCCCCACATCCATCGCTCTTCACGCATCTTGACCATGTCATGCGTCGATCTTCACCACGGGGAGCGCGTCTACATGGACCCTCATCGACCACATGATGCACGTCTTTTTGACGGTGTACAGTCTACAGTGTACAGCAAAAGGTGGCAACTATAGGCCAATAAAAGGCTTCTTTCACAAGGGAGCGCTGTGACAAACAAGGTGCTGATTGTCATGATGTTTGTCGCGGACACCCAAGCAGCATCAGGAATATCAGTATCAGCTTAACAAAAAGGTGGTTATTCTTTTTTGTATCAGCATCAGTTCCTGCGCTTAACAAAAAGGTGGTTAACGAGACCAGTACACCATCTTTCTCCGCCGACGCTCTTCCGGAGAAAACGGGATACAAGTGTGCGATGCGTGTCACACTACACGCATCCAGACCGTCCAACGCAAACGCGTCGCCGCCAAGACCCACGCGCGTGTAGCGTCGCTGCGCCAACGAATCCACCGAGAACACATCCTGCAAGAAATCAAAGACCTCATCGCCAGTCACGTCCACGAACGCAAACGTCTGGCTCCGACGGACTCCGGCGCACAGGAAGCCAACGCCGCAAAGCGCCCCAAACAAAGCACAAGTGTCGTGGCACCACACGCATCGTCCATCGAGCCACTGCCGAGCACAGTCCCGCACAGTCGTCGTCAAACAAAACGCCAAGCCACGACAGAGACTCACCCCAAAACCAGAATCCAAACAAGGAAAACAAACCACGTCAAGCGCGCAGCCACACGCGCCAACGCATGGCCACGCATTCAATCCGGAGGTGCCCGAGGCGAAGCCAGGGAATCAGGTCAGAGGGGAGCCGACAAGGCTGTATGACTACGTCTGCCCACGCTGCAAATGTCCATGCCGCAGTGGGGTCCAAACTGGCCGAGTCCACCATCGAGGAAAGTGCGGCCACAAATTTCGTGTCTTGGACGGTGCAGTTGCTGGTCGCCAACACGAGCACACTTGTCCACGATGTGGTGCGCGCGTCTTGTCAGCCAAGCCCAATGGACGAATTCAAGTCCAACACCGCACACCCAACGGCAAGGCTTGTTCTTGTCAGGCATGGAATGTTGCAGCATAAAAACATGGCGCGTTCTGTGCCGGACGACCAGACAAAATCGTCATCCCCAATCGAGCCTTGCTTTGTACTCCTGGCGTTTATACTTCTCAATGCGCTCGTAGCCGCACTACTGCAAAAGCACACAACTCGGGGAGGGCCAAACCCCAGAAGCCCCATCGTTGTCGTGGAGGTCGTGGGAACACCTGGTCCCGCCACAGCTTTTCCCAATCTAATTCTGATCCAAAACGAGCCTCCCATGGTCGCACTTTGGGTGCCAAACGCTGCCTCTGAATCCCTAGAAAAAAAGAAGTTTGTTTCTATTTGTCTCGGTCATCTTGGCCCCGGACACCTGGTCCCGCCACAGCTTTTCCCAATCTAATTCTGGTCCAAAACCAGCCTCCCATGGTTGCACGTTGGGTGCCAAACGCTGCCTCTGAATCCCTAGAAAAAAAAAGGTTTGTTTCCATTTGTCTCGGTCATCTTGGCCCCGAACATCCAAAACGAGCCTCCCATGGTCGCACTTTGGGTGCCAAACGCCGCCTCTGAATCCCTAGAAAAAAAGAAGTTTGTTTCCATTTGTCTCGGTCATCTTGGCCCCGAACACCTGGTCCCGCCACAGCTTTTCCCAATCTAATTCTGGTCCAAAACGAGCCTCCCATGGTCGCACTTTGG